GACCTACGAAAGACGATTCTTTGGAAGTCTTGATCTTCCTCGTGGACAAGAATTTGGCGGTACATCTTTTCGATGTCGCCATTAAAAACAAACTTGTAGAGGCGCCATCGGAGAATGATGAGCATCAAGTCGTTTTGAAGGGTTGGGCCAGTGTGTAGTACGTCATTGAGGGAGTTTCCAGAGTGGGATATTCTGGAGGCATTGAAGACTACGCGTACTTTTGTTGTTTTGCTGTCGGGTTTTATGACAGCATGGTGCGGTAAATAAAAGGAGAAGTATTTACCGTCTTTGATGACTTCTTGGGATGAGGTGGGCTCCATATGGTCCATGGTGATGTATTCTTCCAGAACCTCTGAGTACTTTTTGCCAAGGTCGGGTTTTTTCTCCAGATTCCTTTCGATGCTGATGTACTGCTGCTGCGCTGCTAGTCGAGAGTGACCTAAAGCCATTGTGTCTGGAAATTCGGGTTTGACGGGTAATTTCACCGTATATCGTCCGTCTGCCTGCCGGGTTGTCGTGCGACGATACAGGTCCTCACAGAACTCCTCCTCACTGGAACGGGGTTGAGTGACTGCTACTTCCTCCTGTTCCCAAAACTTCTTCAGCAGTGAGTTTAGAGATTCATCCTGGGGTTCGGTTACCTGGGTGGTAAAGGTGGAGATTCTCTCCTGGATTGGGCCGCTCAGAATCCATCCAAATATCGTATTCTGCGCTATGAGACTTCCGCTTATGTTTTGTTGCAGCCCTTGTAGGAGAATTCGGGGGATTAGATCACTGCCGATTACCATATCTATCTTATTTGGGGTGAAGCAGTTGGGATCGGCGAGCCTTAATCGTTTTATCTCTTCTAAATTAATATGAGAGATTTTTGCAGTAGGGAGGAAATGGGTCAACTGGGGCAAAATAATAGCTTGGGTCTTTATTCTATGGGCTCGATCTGTTGAGCAAAGTGTGATTTCACAGATTTTTTTTGAATTTTGTACCACCATTCCACCCATTCCAGAAATCTCGAATAGTGCGTCCGTCATAGGCAAACGCAAGAGTTTTTGTATCCGGGATGATACAAACGTTTTTTGCGAACCTTGATCCACCAGAGCACGAATATTTTGATATTCGCCATCACAGTAGATAGGTACTATCGCCGTTGGGAGAAGAGTTGTGACGTTGGTACTCGAAAAATGAGATGACACCTTATTTACGTCGTTTTTCTCTGGGGGTGGGTGCGTCACATATTTTGAGCAAGTCGGCCCTTCTGTATCTTTATTTGTCTGAGTAGCCAGTTGACTCGTTGTTCGTTGGGGCTTTGAATTGGGTTGGGGGGTCTGGGTCTTTTGCGGGAAGTGTAAAAGAGAGTGATGTTTTCGTTGACAGTATACACAAGTGAAATTACTTGTACACTCACTCTTTAAATGGGAGTAAGAAAGGCAATTTTCACAATACTTGTTCTCTCTTACGAATCTTAAACGGTCAGATACGGATAGTGCTTTAAATTTCACACATGTCTTCATGGGGTGCCTTGAGTGGCAGAGTTTGCATGAAATCGGCTGATTTAGATCGACATGGAAATTCTGAGTTCTATTTTTATTTATAAATGTGGAATTGTGATTCCCCGTTCTTGGGGTGAAATTAGGGTGGGGAAGCTTTGGTTTTCCTGGCCGATATGTGTTAAGTCTTTCTACTACTTCATACCGGCTTGTGAGGAATTTGCTCATATCTGCCCAAAGTGGTAACTCTTTCCGTGAGCTGAGTGATTGCTCCCATAGAGATAGAGTTTCACTGGGCAGTTTTGAAGAGCATAAATATACAAGGATGGGGTCCCAATTGCTGGTCGGGATTCCTTGTGCTGAGAGGGTTGAGAGGCAATTGTTGATGGTGGATTGAATTTTCTGGATTTGCTCACCATTTTCTGAATATATGGGTGGGATGTTAAATAGAGTTTTTAATTGGTTGTCCACCAATATCCTACGGTTTTCATACCGTGACTTTAAGGCATCCCAGGCTAGTTCAAAATTGTCATCAGTGAGGGGGAACTGTTTCACTATTTGTCCGGCCTGGCTTCTTGTTTTTTGCCTTAAATGGTACAGTTTCTGGGCTGGTGTTAATTTGGGGTGATTTTTATAGACTGCCGTGAACATATCTCTGAACGCCGGCCAGTCTTCGTACCCACCGTGGAAAATTTCTGTATCACACGGTGGTACCTTGAGGAATACTTCTTGGGAGTTCGAAGTTGGGGTGGAATTTGTGGTGGGAATGGTGCTTGTTTGGGACTGGGAATTTGCCCCGAGAAGTTGTAAGCCGTCTAAAATTTGCATCTTACAGTTCTCATAACTTTCTGAGCACTTATTATATTTTTGCTCAATTGATCCGCTAGATTCAGCGAAGTGCTCAGAGCGGGATACTGCTCTATATGAGCTTATTAGAGCATCCCATAACTTGTCAAGTTGCTGTAACTTCACATTTAAAAGCGTTTGGGTGTGTTCGCTTATAAGGGTGCTGGACCATTTTGAATAAAATGACTCTAGCCTATTACTATCAAATATGAAGTCCTGAAGGCTTGAGTCAGAATCAATGGGAGATTTCTTTTCCATTTTGGGTTCTAAAGAGGTAATTGGGGGAATTCGGAGTAAACCGTGAGTGAAAAGGTGAAAAACGTAAAAATATTTTTATCTTGTCTTGAGATACCAAGATTTACTCAGCAACTTCTTATTTTTCAATTTAAAATATTGATTTGCGCTACTTTTTAACGTTTGCTAAATTTTTTGTGTGGTGCTAATTTTATGAGCTCTACTGTATCTACCTTGGTGCTATTTTCTTGTCCTCTACTGTATATTGTCTCAGCGCGTCTGAGCCCAATAGTATATATGTACGTGTGTACGTATGTGTACGTATGTGTATTTGCTGGAGTTGCAAATTTTGGAAGCGCAAAAGGTGGTTGGAGAGCGAGCGAAGCGAAATAGATAAATATGCGAGCAGTACTATGTATACGTACGTAAGTAAATGGATATACCGTTTGTCTTTTCGGCTTTTGAATATGTACGTATGTATATATATATATTTATATGTAGGTATGTCGCAAATTTTGTAGCAGAATCGGATTTTTTTTTCTTTTGACACTGGGGGAATCTCTATGGCATAAGTGGAAGAAGGAGACAAGAGACAAGCGATTTTAGTTCCTTTTCGGGTACCAAGAATTAAAAGCAAATTAATTGCAAACACAATTTCGTGTGTTATGCTTCTGGGTCGTGCGTATAAGTGAGTATGTACATATGTATGCCCGAAACAAGTGGTTTCAGAGTAATAGCGGGGAACTGAACAAACGGTGTACTGTATGTAGCTATGGAATTTTCTACTCCCGTATATATAAGTACATATGTAAGTACGTGTATCGTACGGGACAAATGAGCTGATGTATATATCTGGATTAGTAACTATTTGTTTCGCGCGCAACGCTAGAACTCACATATGTACATACTATGTAGAAATTTCGGGACTTATTTGAATATGAGGGGGCAGTGAAACTGAGATTGGGTAAATATGTATGTAAATTGTATTACGTATGTATATTTTATGGCGGTTTTTTTGTTTTGAGAAGGGGAAATGTGATATTGCGCGGGATTATATACTTTTATTTATGTACATACATATATGTCGGGATATATGTATTCTTGAGGAGATATGACTTTAGTTGCGGTAAATTAGAAGTTCAGCGACTTCAATTTACCGTACTTGGGAACCGCTAACAAATTTACATACGTAATATATGTATATTTTTATGTGCAAGTTTAGGGTAGTGAAATGGTGCACTTACTTGCT